ATCACACAGAGGAGGAATCTATACATCACACAGAGGAGGAATCTATACATCACACAGAGGAGGAATCTATACGTCACACAGAGGAGGAATCTATACGTCACACAGAGGAGGAATCTATACGTCACACAGAGGAGGAATCTATACATCACACAGAGGAGGAAACCATACATCACACAGAGGAAGAATCTATACATCACACAGAGGAGGAATCTATACGTCACACAGAGGAGGAATCTATACATCACACAGAGGAGGAATCTATACATCCATACATAGGCGGCATCCTCACTGTCCACACAGAGGAGGAATCCACACCGTCCACAAAGAAACATTCACACTGTCCTCACAGAACAGTACTCATGCCGTCCACTCAGAGTGGGAGCCCATGCCGTCCACTCAGAGCTGGCATCTTGGTCTTCTGTGTCTGTAGGAGGAGTTGGCCACCACCCCAATCATCCTCTTCATCTGCCTGGTGCTGAGACGACACTGGTGGAGGGCACTCCCTGACACCCCACAGACCCCCATTCCATCCCGTTACCCTGGAGGGCATCCTCTGTGCACTCTTTCAGGTTCCACACTAGAATGTGGTCACAGGATGCAGAGCCAAGGAGAAGTGGACTCTCTGTGTTTCCAAAGGCCAGGGCTGTCACTGCCTGTTGGTGTCCTCTGAGGATGAGAGGCTAGAAAATTCACGCAAACACCACCGTCATTGCACCACCAGGGACTGAGACAACAATCACCACACCTGAGAAATTATACATACTCAATTTTCAAACAGGCTACTTTCCAGATTTCTTTCTGGTATCATTAAAATCCCTGACTTAGCCATTTGAATGCTTCTGGAAGCACTCTGGTCTTCCATTAGCTCACCATGTACCAATTAAACATGGATACACCCACCTTCACTTACCAATGTGGTTAGGTGCCACAAAGCCTCACGCAGAAATGGAGAATGACCAAGTCCTGGCGCAACTGCCAACCCCCTGGGAATCACACCAGCCCACCAGCAGATACTGGCCCTCACCCTCACACAGCCTCTTAACTTCGCCTAATTCATTAATGCACCAGTGTCATTAATGTGCAACCTAGTCAGATAGCAGATGCTCCACTACCATCAAAAATGAGAAAGGTTAAAGGCATTTCCTTTAGGAACAGGAACTAGGCAAGGATGCCCACTATCACCTCTCCTATTCAATATTGTATTGGAAGTCTTAGTGATAGAAATAAGACAAGACAAAGGAACAAAATTACCTCTCTATATAGATGATATGGTAGTATACTTAGAAAACCCTAAAGACTCAGCAAGAAAACTATTGGACACAGTGTGGCAATTCAGCAAAGTAGCAGGATATAAGATCAATATACAAAAATCAGTTGGATTTCTCTACAGTGACAAAGAGAATACAGAGCTGGAGCTAAGAAAAACAATACCCTTCACAATAGCTAATCACAAGATAAAATGTTTGGGAGTAAATATAACAAGAAGCACAAAGGATCTATTCAAAGAAAATTACAAAATATTACTACAAGAAACAAAAAGAGACCTGGAGAAGTAGAAAAATCTCCCTTGCTCATGGATAGGAAAACTCAATATTGTGAAAATGGCAATACTACCAAAGGCAATTTACAAGTTCAACGCAATCCCAATACAAATACCAATCCTATTCTTCAACGAGATGGAAAAGGCAATCTCCAGTTTCATTTGGAATGTAAAGAAGCCCTGAATAAGCAAAGCACTCCTTAAAAATAGAAAAAAGGTAGGAGGCATCTCCGTCCCTGATTTCAAATCCTACTACACTGCCATGGTGGTTAAGACAGCATGGTACTGGTACAATGACAGACACATAGATCAATGGAATAGGATTGAGAATGCAGAAATCAGCCCATCTACTTATGGTCAACTGAATTTTTACAAGGAGATGAAATCAGTTAAGTGGGGGAACAACAGCCTTTTTAACAAATGGTGTTGGCAAAATTGGAAAACTATCTGCAGAAGACTCAAGCAAGATCCACACCTCACTCTATATACAAAACCAACTCAAGATGGATCATGGATCTACGACTAAAACCAAGGACTATAAACTTCATTAAAGAAAAGCTTGGATGAACTCCAGTAGTCCTAATCTACAACATAAACATATCCTGAAAAATCTACAATCAGGAGAAGATAAAATAGATGAACGGGACCTTCTAAGAATCAGATCCCTAGAATTTATAAAATACTTGAGTACCACAACAAGATAAAGGTAAATAATCCAACTGAAAAATGGGCACAGGATATGAACAGACACTTCAACAAAGAAGACATTCAGAAGGCCAACAAGCACATGAAGAAATATTCAAAATCCCTAGCTCTAAGAGAGATGCAAATCAAAACAACTATGAGATATCATCCCACCCCAGTCAGAATAGCAAAATTTAACAGAACAGCAAGCTACAAATTGCTGGTGAGGTTGTGGAGAAACTGGAACCCTTATTCATTGTTGATGGGAGTGTAAAATGGTGCAACCACTATGCAAGGCAGTATGGCACTTTCTCAAAAAGTTGCAAATAGAGAAACCATCTGACTCAGCAGTTCCACTACTGGGAATATACCCTAAAGAGACCTTAACCGACATCCAAGCAGATATATGCACACCCATGTTTATCACGGCTTTGCTCACAATAGCAAGGAGTTGGAAACAACCTAAGTAACGAATGGATAGAGAACCTGTGGTATATTCACACAATGGAATACTACACTGCATTGAAAAACCAAGAACTCATGCAATATTATTCAAAATGGTGACCCTGGAAGACATTATGCTGAGTGAGGAATCTTAGTCACAAAAGGACAAATACTGCATGGTGCCACTGTTGTAGAACAGGACTGACCTCTAGGTTGGGGGGAGACTGAGAAAGATGGGTTCAATAATGTATACTGCATTGAAGCAGATGAGGCAGAGAACAGTTTAAAAGCGATATATGATAGGGTATTATGGTTATGACAAGAGTCCAGAATGAAGGTTGCACAGTAGAGAGCACTCGGGGCAGGGGAATTGTAAACCAATGAAGGAGTTTTTCTTTCACTTTTCGAAGAGAGTAGTGAAGGGGGGGGGGGCGGAGGCCTGGAGAAAAGTGCAACAATGAATGAATGGAAAACCAAAATCTCTGTAAATTTTTATTAAAATTAATAATTTTTTTAAATGAGAAAGACCAATAAGGCAGCTGGTGAGTGAGGAACTGGTGCACAGCATCCCTGCTGGGTACCACCAGGCAACCAAGGCGGGTGGAGAGGGGCCAGTATAAGACAAGGATGGCGACCTGGGGAGGCTGGCCAGAGACTGAGGCAGAAGCACATTCAAGAAGCATATTCACGGTGAAGCTGCTGGGGGATGCAGGTGCATTTCAGAAACTACTGTGACCCGAAGTCCAGGATGGGTCCAGCGGGGTGTGAGAGCATCCGAACCCACAGTGCTTCCAAGGATGCTCAGGTCAAAGACCACGCAAACATCCAAGCAGGTAAGGACAGGTTGATTTCTGGGAGCCAGGAGCTCCAGCACAGCCCCACCACAAAAACCAAGGAAGACAAAGTATATGCATACAAGAACTGAGGAGAGCAGGGCACGACCTCACCAAGAGAACCAAGGAGACAAAAGTGTGACCCCATCCGGAGAACCGAGGAGACCAGAGCACAGCCCCACCAGGAGAACTGGGGAGACCACAGCACAGCCCCACAAGGAGAACTGGGAAGACCGGAGCACAGAGAACCGGGAATACCAGAGTGTGGCCTTACCTGGAAAACTGGGAAGAATGGAGCACAGAGAACCAGGGGTACCAGGTGTTGGTCTAAAGAACAGGGAGACCAGGAAAGGGATGTGGTCTGTGAGAGGAGACTGGATGCTGAGTGGACTTTTATCAAAACTGATGGTCTGAAATTGATCAAACCTATATTCAAGATGCATAAATATAACTGGTGAATCAAAGGAAAAGTGAGGACAGAACAAGAGGGCATGTACTTGGAAAATACAGGCTGGGTGACACAAACAAGGGTGGAGACTGAATGACAGAGTTGTATATAATCAATGGTTTCTTCATTTCTAATAACTTTTAAAACAAGCATTAGCAGCAATTATACACATGGTCTTCCCTCATGAACCAAACTAACTACACCTAGTAAGAATCAATGGAGAAACTCACTATCAACAGTCAAAACAAGGCCAATATCTGGCAGTGGTACAGACCATCAATTATATATAAGCAAGATTAAATTCAAGGTGAATAAAATTAAAACATATCCACAGGAACCAAAATTCAACCTTGAGTGTATCCCAACTGAATTTAAAAACATCTCAAGAAAATATTGGACGCATTGAGCACTAACAACAAAAACCAGGCAAATGTGATATGACATCAAGGACATCAATGATGAGGAAAGCAGATCATTACAAAGAGAAGAAAAAAGAAAGAAAAGACCAAAACGAACATCAGAAGAGAATCTGAAACTTGTCTTCAAATGAAAAGAAGCCAAAAACAAAGGTGGGGGGGGGAATGATGATTTTAAACACCTGGACACAAGACTTCAAAGAGTAGCTAAAGAAGACAAAGTACTATAATAAAAGGTGTGAGAACCTGGAGACAGAAAACCAAAGGGGAAGCACATACTACCAGGCACATCTCAAGCTGACAGACCTAAAGAATAAAGTCAAGCTGCTTAACAGAGTGTGGAAATCCTTGAACAGTATCACTAATACCACACGCAAGCAAAATCTTGCTGAAAATTAGCCAAAAACAACTGGAACAGTCCATTGACAAAGAACTACCAGAATCACAAACCAGTTTTGGAAGAGGCCCTTGCACTAAAACATTATCATCAATGTCAGATGGATCTTGGCTGAAAGCGAAGGGTACCAGAGGAATGTGTATCTGGGCTAATTGACTATGCAAAGTCATTTGACTGTGTGGATCATAACAAACAGTGGTTAACCTTGTGAAGAATGGGAATTCCAGAACACTTGACTGTGCTTACGTGAAATGTATACTTGGACCAGGAAGCAGTCATCATCAGAACAGAGCAAGGAAACACTGCATGGTTCAAAATCAGGAAAAGAGTGAGTCAGGGATGTGTCCTATCTCCATACCTATTCAATCTGTATGCGGAACAGATCATTCAGGAGGCTGAACTTTATGAGGAAGAAAGGGACATCAGGATTGGAGGAAGACTCATCAACAAGCTGCATTATACAGATGATACAACCTTGCTTGCCAAAACTGAGGAGGACCTGAAACATTTCCTGCAGAAGGTCGAGGTCTGCAATCTCCAATATGAAATGAACCTCAACATTAAGAAAACAAAGCTTCTCACCACTGAGCCATTTGACAGCATCATGATAGATGGGGAAGATATTGAGGTTGTTGCAATTACAGCTTGATTGCGTCCACAACCAACACTCTTGGCATCAGCAGTCAGGAAATCAAAAGACAAATTGCATTAGGGAAATGTGCTGTCAGGGACCTCTCCAGAGTGCTAAACAGTAATAATGTCGGTCTAGAGACTAAGGTGAACCCGATCCAGGCCATGGTCTTTGCAATTACTTGCTATGCAACAGAGAGCTGGACAATGACTAAGGATGAAAAAGAAATTGATGCTTTTGCATTATGGTGCTAGAGAAGAGTGTTTAACATGCCATGGACTGCCAAGAAAACAAACAGGTCTGTCTTCGAGAGGGTGAAACCAAGTTTCTCCTTGGAGGCAAGGATTTTAAAGTTCTGTCTCACATACTCAGGGCACACGGCCAGAAGAAACCAATCCTTGGAGATGGACATCATGCTTAGGAGGGTAGAGGGACAGAGTAAGATAGGAAGATCCCAGATGAGATGGACTGATAGTGTAACAGCGGAAACTGGGCCAGGTGTGTCAGAGTCAGTGAGACTGTCAGTGGCTCAGGACAGGGCAGGGCTCAGAGTAATTGTAATAGGTCATTAGGAATTACAGGCAACTCATCAGCACATACAGTTGCAAAACTAAAGGATTCTATGGACAAAATATTGAATGAGGCAGGAAGCATCAAAAGATGGCGGGAATACAGACTCATTGCATCAAGAAGAATGGTTGACACAGAACCATTTCAGGAAGTAGCATATGATCTAGAATCAATGGTAATTAAGCAAGAAATCCAAGCTGCACTGAGGCACTGGCAAAAAAATAAGACATCTTAAGTTTATGAAATACAAGTGAAGTGTTTCACAAAATAGATGCAATCCTGACTATGCTGCCCAGTCTATTGAAGAAATCTGGATGATAGCTACCAGACCTGACTGGAAGAGATCTGCAACTGTTACCATTCCAAAAATAGGCAATCTAACAGAATATGAAAATTTCCCAACAATATCACTAATACCATATGCAAGTAATATCTCGCTAACGAGTATTTAAGAACAGCTGGAATAATAACATTGGCGGGAACTTCCAGAAATGCAACCTCAACTTAGAAGGGGCCATGCAATAGGGATATTACTGCTGAAGTCACAAGGATCTTTACTGAAAGCAGAAAATACCAGAAGAGGTTTACTTGTGTTTTATTGACTAAGTAAAGGCATCTGACTGTGTGGGTCATAACAAATTATGGCTAATATTGAGAAGAATGGAAATCCCACGACACTTACCTATACACACATAAAAGGCCACAAAGCAGTTGTCTAAAACAGAACAAGGGAACATTGGATGGTGTAAATTCAGGAAAGTTATGCATCAGTTTGCATCTATTCAATCTATATGATGAGCAAATTATTCAAGAAATTGATTCTATGAAGAAAAACGTAGCGTCAAGATTAGAGAAAGATTCAGCAACAAGCTGTGTTATGCAGACGACTCGCAGATGACTGGCTCTTCTTTCAGAAAGTGTTGGGAGACGTGAAGCATTTGCAGAGCAAGATCAAAGTCTACGGACTTCAATACGGGTTACTTCTCCACATCAGGAACACAGAAGTCTTCACCACTGGACTAACAGGCAGCATTATAATAGATGGAGAAAAGGTTGGTATGCTCAGAAAATCTGTTGCCAAGAACCTCTCCAAAGTGCTCAAGGGCAAAGATGGCAGTTCAAAGACTAAGGTGTACCTGATCCAGGCTATGGTATTTTCAATTGCTTTGCATGCATCTGCAAGTTGGACAGTATATAAAGATAACAAGAGTGGCTACCTTTACACTGTGGTGTTGGAGAAGAGGACGGACTATCCCATGGACTGCCAGAAGGACAAATCCATCTGTTCTAGAGGAAGTTCCTTATTGGCCAGGATGGTGACTTTGCCTCACATACTTTGGACATGTTGTCAGGAGGAGGTGCAAAAGGATATAAAGGGAAGGGTGGAGGGTCAGAGGAAGAGAGGAAGATCCTCAACAAGGTGGGCTGACACAGTGACCGCAACAATGGGCTTGTGCAACTCAGAGATGGAGAGAACCAGCAAGGCTACAACGAGGGGTGGGTCTGTCGTAGGCAGGGTCTCCATGTGTCGCAGGTCGCAGTGGACCCCAGGACACATAACAAAACATAAATCTTCCTAAGACTTTTCTATTTTGTACATCAAAACTGATTATTAAGAGTACCAATATAATTATAAAAGTTGTAAAATAAGTGATACAATGAAATCTAAGAATGCCTTATAAAATTGATGCCAACAATTCCACAGTAAATATAATAAAGTCCTTTAATAAAACACTGTCTTAAAAAGCCACAGAAGTTCAGCTCCTCTGGTTATGTTCGGATGATCATCTCACTTATTCATGTTCTCACAAAAAGAAAATTTTTTAAAAACAAAGTGATTCCAGAAGGTTTTCTCCTTAAAATCAAAACGTAATATGTTTTATTTTGTTGGCTTTTTTCGTGCATGGTAAAAGGAATTCTCACCCAAACAGCACTCAAGGACGGAAAAAGGACGAGGTCACCCCCATGCCACTGGGCTCATTGAGAAACCCACTCCACGCTTCAGAATACCTGGTGGGAAGGATGGCTGGCGTCCCAGACACAAAGCTCACGGCTGTTCCGAGGAAAAGCACAGTGAGAGCCGCTGCAGGCCAGCTGGACATGAGAGGCAGGGTCCGGAGAGTCCACCATGTACCTTTCTGTAACTGCATCACCTACACAGCCAGCAGCCCCAGAGGAAGCACCCTGAGGCCTGTCCATTTAATCTGAAACAGGAAATGCACATGGAGTCTATATAACAGTGCGTGTAAGGAAATCGTGTCACACACAGCACACCACGCACACTGACATGTCCTCTTCTATTCCCAACAAAAAAATTCACCCCTGGCCGAGGATCCACACCTGATGCTTCCTTCCCACCCCATGAAGCTGCACAGCCTGGGCTCAGGCCCCAGGACACCTGAACATTTGGGCAGGACTCCAGGTCTGTGAAATGGAAGTACAAGGACCTTACAAAGCGGCTGGACGAGATGACGGCAGAGAAGGCTTCGGGCCAACACTAGCACTGCACCAAGTGTCTTCACGGAGTTCCCAAGACTGACTGCCACCATTCAAGATGAAGTTGGAGGGATTTTCTAAATTGGCCGTGCAAGTGAGACTGATGATTTACATAAATCCCAGTTCTCTAACTGCTCATCTGAAGCTTTTCAACTATGTTGCCACATTCACCACCAAAGTTAAATTATCCAGATTATATAATCTGGCCTTCACTACTACGTCTTCTATGTATGAACTAATGAAAACAATGTGTCAAGAGGAAAACATTGCAGTCTTTCGTCTCATTTTTTAGTTACTAAGCTTGGGTGACCCAGTGGGAGGTGTGGTGCTGACAACCTAAAGGTACATGTTTCAAATCCACCAGATACTCCACGGGACAAAGATGGCCAACTGCTTCCTGTGTAGTTAACTGGAGGGGTGGTTCTGGCACACAGTACCCAACAACCATTAAACATAGCATCCATTTGGCAAACACAGAAACAACTCGATGTTGATCAAGCAGAGGGCAGCAAAGGTGGGCAGAGCTGTCAGTTCGCTCGTGCTAAGGGCTCTGCGTGGTGACAGAGCGCCTCCATACAGCCTTCCATCTGGGTTCTCTGCAAGATCAATCTGAGGGTTTTCCCCTGAGATCTTAGGAGTCATCTCTGCCCTGGTTTTTACTTTATAGGGTTTATGACTTTTGTCTAGGTGGACTGACATACCCCAGCAAGCTGTAAACAGCTGTATTTCAACACTTGCTGTCTGATCCTGGGCTGCCGCATGCCCTGTGATTAGACCAGACTAAAGACTAATTCCTACTCCAGCTAAATAACAGACTATCATCCATACTGTTCCAGGTTGCCCCCACAAACCGCAAACAGATGCACACACTTTTCTCCATCCTTTGTCACATCCACCAGGAGGCAGGAAATGACACAAAGAATTAGCAACCTAGCCATGATGGGGCACATTCCCATGGCTCAGTCAGAAGACGTAAAAATTAACATGAACAACAAAATCACTACAATGCCTCAAAGGCAACAGGTAAATATAAACCACTGAAAAAACCATGCGTGCACACAGGGGTGGGGAGGAAACCCCACAAAACAGGAAGAAATTATGCCTTTAAATTACACTGCTGGCAAAAAAAATACTATCTGTGAATTGCCTAAAGAGTAAGCCAGCCTATGTTGGAGGATGGGCAGCCAGGTTGTTCCTTAAAAGGAAGGGACGGTGAAACTTCATCTTACACTCTCTGGACATGCTGCCAGAAAAAAGACATCATGCTGGGAAAGGTCCTCTCCAGATGGACTGACACTGGCTCGAGTAACGAGCTTAAGCATATCTGAGATGAAGATACGGCAAAGTTCAGATCTGTCATTCAAAGACTCACAATGAGTTATGCTCACCTGGAGGGCACTTAACAAAAACAGCAATCAACAGCCCTAAAGAGCTAACAGAAACTCTAATCAAATGACTTCAGAATCTAGAAAAGGAAAGAATACTCTCAAACTCATTCCATGAAGCAAGAGTAGCTCTGATACCAGAGCAAGGGAAGCACACCACCCAAAACGAAAGCAATAGACCAACATCCCTCAAGAATACAGATGCAAGAGTTCTAAAAATCCTGTCCAACAGAAACCAATATATTTTTAAAAGCCACTATGCACCTTAATAAAAAGTGGAATTCATATCAAGTATGCAAGGATGGTTCAACATTATAAAAACACTCGGTGTAATCTACCAGATCAATTTTAAAAAGAATCACATCATCTCAACTGTTGCAGAAAAGGTTTTTGACAAAATTCAACACCATGACCACATAAAAAGGCTCAAAAAACTGGAATAGAGAGGAAATTCTTCAGCCTAATTGAAAGTATTCACACCAAACCAACTGCCAACATTCCTCTCAACGGAGAGAAATTGGATATGCATTTCCCTTGTGAAAAGGAAACAAATAAGGTTGCCCTCTATCACCAATCCTATTTAATACTGTATTAGAAATCCTAGTCAAAGAAATAAAGCAGGAAAAGAAAAGGTATACAAACTGACAAAAAGGAGGTAAAACTCTATATGCAAATGATAATATTCTAAATTTATAAATTATACACTCAGCAATAAAATTATTGGCTATAACTGACCAATTCATCAAAGAGGCAGGGTACAAGATCAACATGCAAAAGTCAGTCACATTCTTCACAGGAACAAAGAAAACTCTGAAATGGTGATAGAGAAACCAACACATTTTATAATGTTTATATTGTTATGTACTATCAGGTAGAAACCAACTCACAGCTGACTCTCCCCGAGAGTTTCAGAGGCATCTGTGCCCCTTAGGGCAGTCAGGAGATTTGATGTGCCTTCATCTGGATTGACAAAGCAATTCCTTATCACTAAGCCACGAGAGTCCCGTTTCCCTCCCCCCACCCTACCCCCATTTATAACAGTTACCCAAAAGAAAAAATATTCATATGATGGAGTATTATGTATCACTAAAACAATGATCAAGAATTCATTAAATACGCCACAACATGGATGAATCTAGAACAAATTATGCTGAGTCACAAGTCACTCACAAAAGGACAAGTATGGTATGAAAGCCCAATCCAAAAAGCTAAGGAAAGGTCTACACACAAATAGACGGGTCCTGGAGGTTTAAGGGGAATAGGAAGAGGAGACAATGGAGTAAGTCTTAATAGATGAATTGTAAGAAGGAAAAGGCAACACACTAAGTGGCTGATTCGACATTGTAATAAATTAATCACATTAATCAATGGTAATTAAGAAAACAAAAGGGCCTATGAATGATTATATGAAAAATCAATATGATTTCTAATTTTTGCTTTGTTAGTTGTTGTTAGATGCTGTTGACTGCTGTAAAACCCATAGCGACCTTACAAACACAGATCTGAATTCTGTCCTATCCTGTGCCATCCTCACACTTTTGGACACATTAGAGCCCGCTGTGGTAGTCAAGGTGTCAATCTACCTGAGGGTCTTCCTCTCTTTTGCCAACTCTCTGCCTTTCCAAGCACGATGAACTTCCCCAAGGAATAGCCTCACCTAGCAAGATGTCTAAAATATATGAGGCGAAGCTGTGTAATATTTGTCTCCAAAGAGCATTCCAGCTACACCTGCTCCAAAACATAATTTTATTGTTATTTTGGCAGTCCATAGAATGTTCAGTACTTTTCTCCAACACTACAGTTCAAAGGTATCAACTCTTCTTCTATCATACTTTTTCATTGTCCAGCTTTCATATACATAGCAAGTGATCAGAAAGGCCATGGCCTGAATCAGATGTACCTTAGTCCTGAAGATCACTGAAGACTTCCCAGTGCAATACATCTCCTGATTTCCTGACTGGTATTGTGTATCCAAGATGAAGCTGTTAACAGCTTCAGTCTTTTCTCCATCTATCATGATGTTGCCTATCGGTCCAGTGGTAAGAATCTTTGTTTTCTTGACGTCGATATGCAATCATTATTGAAGGCTGTATTCGTTGATCTTCTCCAACAAGTACTTCAAATTCTCCTCACTTTCAGCAAGAAAAGTTGTATCATCTCCATAACATGGGTTATTGATGGTCTCCCTCCAATCATGATGCCACAATTGTCTTCAGAGTCCAGATACTCGAATTTCATTTTCTCAGCATTTAAATTGAATAGGCCTGGAAAGATAATACAACTCCGATGTACTCCCTTTCTAATTTTAAACCATGTAATGTTCCCTTGAAGCAGGAGCGGCATCCACTTCTGAAATGGCTTGCCTCCAGAAACTCTGTGTACGAGCAGTACATAGGGTCACTATGAGTCGTCTACGACTCGACAGCACCAAACAACAACAATGCTCCCTTGCTCTGTTTGTACAACAGACTCCTGGTCTAGGTATAGGTTTCACATGAGCACAATTAAGTGCTCTGAATTGCCATTCTTCTCAGTGGTTGCCATAACTTGTTATGATCCACACAGCTTCAAATATGAGAACTTGCACTTAATGAAGTGAAATTAAAATTTTTAAAATAAGGAAAAATTGTTAAATTGGGTGAAGAGAAAAGTAGTATTTTAAAAGTGCTTGTTAGACATTGTAATTAACGAAATAAAACGTGTATGAAAAATCTAATGAAACTGTAATTCTTGTTGTTAGGTGCCATCAAGTTGAGTAATACTCATAGTGACCCTATGAAGAGTCAGCCTGAACCTTGTCCTACTCTGTGAGCCTCATCATCTCCAGCACTCTAGGATCCTTTGTTGAAGTCACTGTGTCAATCCATCTCATTTAGGTTCTTCCTCTCCTTTGCTAACCCTACATCTTTCCAAGCATGATGTCCCCTTTCAAGGAATAACCTTATTTAGCAACATGAACAAAGTGTTTGAGAAGCTGCTTTATCACCTTTACCTCCAAAGCTGCACTCTGGCTGCACCTCTACCAAGACATATCTGTTTGTTCTTTTGGCAGTCCATGGGATACTGGGTATTATTCTCCAGCAACACAACCCAAAGGCATCACATCTTCTTCTATTATTCTTTTTGGGGAAGAAGAGGGGGAAATTGGTGTCTAGGACCTCTTTATTTTTATTTTTAAATGTTATTCTGATTTATTTACATTGCTTTTCACAAATGATCCTTCCCATTTCCTTCACCCCACCCACCCATCAAATAGTGCAACCCTATTATTAACACCCTACCCCCCAATCCATCCACATCCCTCTATTTCTACTCTCC